CTTGCATGTTCGGGGCTGGTGCAATGGATAATGGCTCGAAATTAGGAATCGGACAGTCGAGTTCGCATTCCGGTTGGGTTCGTTGTATCCGCAAATATCCTTGGGAAAGATATGAATTTATCTCTTCTATAAATTAATTAGTAGAACTTGTATCAGTAAATTATTGTTATCTCCAAAAACATTCTTCCATTTTAAAATATTTTCTGGTTTTAAATAATCGACAAAAGGTTGATAATCCGTAAAAAAAATACATCAATCTACAATCTACACTTGGTGAAACACGATTTAGAGTCTTGTATGTTAACGATATCACAAAATTTCGCTAAATGTTCATTGCGTCTATATTCTGCTATGAAATCGGAGATTTATCTGAAAAGCTGTTGTAAAACCATTGATTTGTTTTCTACGGTTTATCAAACTTTTGAACGTTATTTAAAGCCGGAAATTATTTTTAAATTGTAAGAGTTATTTTTCTCGATAATAAAGATTTTACTGACGGGCGAATTGGATAGATTACTTTACTAACGGTATTTGCGCGTAATTCAATTTAAGGAACCCGACTGGAATTGGAAACTCAGCTTTCTGATTTCCTGTTTCAAGCTGTTATCCATTACCCGACCCGGACATCAAAGCTTACAGCACCTGGCGTCCTGGGCATGACGATAAACTACATCCGGCAGCAAGGCCTCTGATTGGGAAGTTTTGAGGAGTGTGGAACCACCTCTTAATTGCTATTGTTCCCAGGTTCACCATGACCCGGGGTGATAGCACCTGTTAGGGTCCCAAACATGGGAAAATAGTTAACCTTCAAAATGAAGACAAAACACTATGAAAGTATAAAAATACATTTTTTATATATTTATAATTTTATAATACATTTTTATATATTTATTTTTTTTATAGTAAAATTACCAGCAATACATTTTCATCGTAAAAAATGCCAGCAATTTATTTTTCTAAAAAAAAGTAATTACCGGCAATACATTTTTGTACAAAAAAATAACATTACTAGCAATACATTTTTGTAAAAGAAATGACAAATGCTCCCCCCCCCCAAATTAAATTTTAGTATGACATGACCTATAAGGAGTTGATATGACGTTAATCAAACAAACAACGACAGTACCTGTATTTCTAAAGCGGTCACTCATCTAGATATTAAACAGGCTCGACGTTGCTTAACTTCGGTGATCATACGAGGAGCAGTGTTTCAACGTGATATCGCGTTAAGGGAGTTCTTAGAAATTCCGGCCAATTACAATTTATAAGAAGAGGGAAATGGATAACGGCTCGGATTGAGACATCAGAAAGCCGAGTTCGAATTCCAATCGAATTCATTACATTCACTTATGTGCTAATACACTTGGTTGGGAAAGGTATGAATCCTCTTCTTCTCTTCCCAGCTTTGGGTAAATAGCAGGACAGATCGGGTTCTATAGCCTTGGATGGCAACTGGTCTACCGCAGAAAGCAATGGCAAACTACTGCCGAAAGAAATCTGCCTCATCGAAAGATACATGATCGCCTAAGCGTGTATCACGCATGTCACATAACTAACTGAAAATTAACTTAAATATAAATACTACAATGATATTATCAACTTATATAAAACTTGAAAGATTAGTATCAATTAAATATTATGTAAGTAACTCTGCTATAAATAATGGGCAAGAGAACTATGAAAATCTCCAAGAATGGACAAGTTCTTGGAGAATGAAAATGTATCAACAGTGATATTCTTTAAAGCAATTCCTAATTTTTTTCTGAGTTGTTAAACTTAAAATAACAACCCCTTCGCTAGTTGATTTCTTCGTCATCCGGCCATAACAGAACTTAGAAAAATCGAGATGAAAAGCATATAGATTGCATACATTGATATCGGTTAGATGCAGGGGAGACTACTGAAAAGCCACGTCCTAAAATATGATCATATGTATTTTTTTCTTTTTAATTGACATTATTTCTTACTACTCCGAACGTTATTTTGTGGATGCCCGTGTTTGAGTAAACTCCCTGTTTTATTTATTTAAATCTTTTATTTGTAGCAGAGCGGTCTCAAGCACATCGGATCAGACTGTAGGTTTTCCTGAAAAGTAGGGGAGCAGGTTCAAATCAGTTCGAAGCGTAGATTTTTCTTTATTAGTTGTTTGGAATGCACCAGCCGGTAGGCATAATTTAACTGTTTCAAGAACAGGACGTCTACTCAAATATGGGTATGCAAAATTCACGTTTGTGGTAGTAGAAACACACGCACACAGAGAGTTATATATATATATATATATATATATATATATATATATATATATATATATATAGGGACGATTGAGTAATGAATAGCGGCTGCTTGAATTGAGGAATTGGAGAGCCGAGTTCGAATTCCATTAGATTCACTTACGTGCTAAAACCCTTGGAAAAGGTGTGAATCCTCTTCTTCTCCCTCCAGTTATGGGTAAATATCAGGACAGACTGGGTTCTATAGCCTTGGATGGCAACTGGTCTAGGAGAAGGACAACTCTGAATTCAAAACCAGCGGAGGGTTGTTTGGGGACCTTGGGGTCTCTGTATTCGGCCCTTCAAAAAGTGTGGATGGTCCTGTACGAAACCTTCACCACTATAATCAAATCTCATGTGCTGTTGTCGGGCTGTCGGTTTCCTAGGGACTGATCTGCTTGACCCTCATACGTCGAATTCAACAGGAGAGTCGTATATATATATATATATATATATATATATATATATATATATATGTGTGTGTGTGTGTGTGTGTGTGTGTGTGTGTGTGTGTGTGTGTAAAACAACTTCAAAGAATCCGTTTGACCAACACAAGGAGTGACCAAAATTAGCGATAAAAAAAACAAGTGAAAACTATACATAAAGTTAACTTTCTTCAGAAACAGCCATTTACGCCTGTAGTTCACTGTTACTAACAAGCAGGGTTTTTCTCCTGATGATGATTGTCATGCTGGTCGAAACTATTCGAGGAACCTAATTGAAATAAGAAAACAAAAAATTTAATATACAACCTAGTATTTTTATTGTTCAAAAGACAGGCACACACGTGTGTGTGTGTGTGTGTGTGTGTGTGTGTGTGTGTGTGTGTGTGTGTGTGTGTGTGTGTGTGTGTGTTCGCGTGCATGTATGTGTTGCTCTAAACGTTATTTTTAGTTGAAAAACATACGGTCATCCCCGTTTCTGAAACTGAAATTAATGCAGTAGAGAAAATATTGGAGATACGTTTTCTTGTGATTTTTCTTGACAAGTTTTGATTACAGACAGTGAAATGAATCACACGAATAGACACACACGCACACACACACACACATATATATATATATATATATATATATATGTGTGTGTGTGTGTGTGTGTGTGTGTGTGGACGTATGTGTGTGGACGCGTGTGCATCAATAGCGTGCAGTGAACTTTCATGTTGGTACCGTTGTCTTATAATGAATTTAAGTTTTCTTCCCATTCATAACAATGATTGTCAGGTAATTGCAATACAAATGATTGTCATTAAACAACAAAGATTCCAGCATATTTATTTTTACTTTCTTCTAAAAGAAAATTAATGCCTTAAATTTACGTATGTGCGCGTCTGTTTGTATATCTGAGCGAATATACATACATACATACATACATATATTCGATGCATACATTGATATTACGAGGTCATACTGAAAAGTTATTTGCCCTACCCACTTTTTAAAATCTGATAAAATACCCAGATTTATTTTGGAATGTCTTCTTCGGAGATAGATAGATAGATAGATAGATAGATAGATAGATAGATAGATAGATAGATAATGAATAGAAGGAGATAGATAGATAATGAACAGAATGAGATAGATAGATAGATAGATAGATAGATAGATAGATAGATAGATAGATAGATAGATAGATAGATAGATAGATAATGAATAGAATGAGATAGATAGATAGATAATGAACAGAATGAGATAGATATATAGATAGATAGATAGATAGATAGATAGATAATGAATAGAATGAGATAGATAGATAGATGATAGATAGATAGATAGATAGATAGATAGATAGATAGATGAATGATAATGAATAGAATGAGATAGATAGATAGATAGATAGATAGATAGATAGATAGATAGATAGATAGATTGATTCTAGACGCAGTTATAATTACATTATTATAGGGGGAGACAGAAGGCCTTATTATGGCAGCACAATGTCAACTTCTTCCAACTAATGCCTACAAGGCTGAACTCAACATAGATGGCTCAAATTCCGCCTGTCGCTAATGCCATAAATTTGATGAAAGTGTTGATCACATAGTATCAAGGCGTCCAGTCCTTGCAAGGAAAGAATACATTATTAGACATGACAGACTAGGACAATTCATTGGCATGTCTGTTCAAGCTATAGTATTTAAGTGATGGTTATTTGGTACAATAAGGACACGTAAGCTTTTGCTGATGTACTCACAGGATTTTAGTTACCTTTCTTTATCATATCCATTATTTCCGGTACCCTTCTTTAGTATATCCAATATTTCCGGTACCCTTCTTTGGTATATCCAATATTTTCGGTACCCTTCTTTAGTATGTGCAATATTTTCAGTACCCTTCTTTATCATATCTAATATTTTCGGTACTCTTCTTTAGTATATCCAATATTTTCGGTACCCTTTTTTATAATATCCAGTATCCCTACAATAATAGGTATAACCGTAGTTTTAGGTTTCGACATTTTTATTACCTCAATTTGCAGGTCCTTATAATTTGATTGATTTTAAAATCTTTTTTTAAAAATAAGGGTATTATTATTATTATTATTATTATTATTATTATTATTATTGTCCCTTATGTAAAAATGGTAAGTTTATTACTCTGCTCACATCAGTGTTATTATGGGTCCATCACTTGGAATAATGTGGCCAAGAGAGAAACTACGGAACTTAGACGTCCCACCCGAGGGATGATCTCGATAAACTCAATGTCAATAGAACAGAAGGCGGGACAGGTC